GGCTTTTGAAGTTTTATATTTGTTTTAACTGTTACAAACATTAGGATAAGGTTCTTTAAGATGGGAACGAAATTAGAAGTTTCAATTGCGTATCAGTTAAACTTGACTTATATTTTGATTTTATTGTTTTCATAATTGACAAAATTTGTTACCAAATGTATGCTGCAAAAGATATCGGATGGCTAAATCGTGTAAACTGAGTAGGATTTTTACGGATTTAGATTAAGTTTCTGAAGATCACGTTATTATCTTTTAAATTCTTTAATATTTCAAAAGTCTCCGCGTACCTCTGTCAAAACTCCACCGTACTATACTGTGGCACGCATGCCACAGTTGACATGCGTGCCACAGTATAGTACTGTGCTTATTGATTATTGATTATCAATGGTTTACGGGTTGATCATCCATGGTTTACATATACGGTAAAAATAGTAACAAGTACGAACAAAACAGTAAGGAACTTCGTAAACGGTGGTGGCTCAGGTGATAGAGTGTTCTCCTGAAAAGTGATCCGGGTTCGAATCCCTGCGATGACTGGCCAATACGAATTCCGCACATGGCTCGCACCGACGTAAAATATCCTCAGTGATAGACTAATCATGGGTTAGAGTTCCCTTGTCATCAGACTAACCGTGGGTGGATTTCGTGGTTTTTCTCTCCATGTAACGCAACTGCCGGATAATTCTATCGAAAAGTCCTCCACGAAGGCATTTTTATCCCAATACTTGATCCAGGAGTTCCCTTGTCTTCTGGATTGGGCTCAAAATTACAAGACTACGGAGTTGAATATTGGTAGTCGTAAACCCAAAATTGGGTGGGCGGTTCAATAATAAGGGACTAATAAAGGAACTCATAAAATAAAATAAGGAACTTGATGGATATTTTCCTCCTGAAATGTTATATTTAACAAATGCAGAAAAATCCTTACGTAAATTGACAACTTAAATCTGAATTTTTTTTTCATCACCCACCGTTTTCTGGAAACACTCCCATTTATATGTCCCCTTACGATAATTTTATAACCGTGAATTTAATTTGGAGGAAGAGAAACGGGTTATTTTAAATACTAAACTTATGAGTAACTGCTTTAAAAATTGAGCAGTTGTAGTAAAACGGGAGATTTTGAGGATTTTCCTCCTGAAATGGTAAAAGAATCATTAAAAATTATCGTTTTTCCCCCGAAGTTTTTGACTTTTCCACAGAATCCAGCTTGAAGACCCTTTTTCCTCCTTTAAACACTTTATTATAAAAACAAATTTAGCCACAATTTTGACTAAAAGTGGTTGAGGGGAGCGAGGTCAGGAAACCCTCCTTCTTTGAATCTTCGGGACTTTCGTGTGAGGGATTCGAGTATTCTCAGGGGGGGAATAACCCAATAATCATTTAAAAAGTCACATTTCTTCTGAAAGGCTAGTAAAGAGAAAAATTTATTGCGTAAACAGTTGTATCAAGTAAAAAAGAAAGGTAGGTTTTACCTCCTTAAATTGCTAAAAAAAAATTCGCTAAAGCAATTTTTTATTTATAGGTAATAATTTAAGCATCAACTTTTTCGTTTTTTTCCTTTAACATCCTAAAATGAGAAATATTTAGTTACAGTTTTTATTTAAGGGTTCCCCTATTTAGACAGATAAGTGATTCTATCAGCCCCTTGTTAATCTACTGAGAATTATATGATCACAATTTCCTTATTAAGTAACAAATTAATATTTTTGAATTATTTTTTATTCAGTTTATTTTTTGAAATATATTCTATATAGATTTTAACAAGTGCATCTTAAATTTTAAGGTTGTAAGCATTTTTAATAAGTTTAAAAAAAAAAATAATAATAAATTTTCAAAGATATAAAATTCCTAAATAAATAAAATCTTGGATTAAATCTTTCATTTCTATGTTTGAACTATATTTAAAAAAATTATTCAAGAAATTCGGAAAAACTGAATGTTGAATGACTGAAGTAAAACTTAACTATGAAAACAGTCATTAAACATTAATTTATTCTTTTTTTTCTCTTTTTTTTTTCAAAATTTGTTTTACTTAAATTTTAGTAGCATTTTTTAGTTTAACTAAAGTAAAATGAAGGATATTAAAGTATTTATTAAAATGTAGGTAATACTGAATGAAAAATATTTTAAGTATGAAGGTATATTTTTCAATCATCCAATAAATATAAACGCTATTTAATTAACCAATTGAACTTTAATTCATACTTAGTTTTTCGATATGCAAATGGAAACTTTATTTTTTTATCAACACTGTAAATAGATGACCCATATAACGGATATTATATTTTGTGTTAAAACTCCGCATCCTTGTAATTTTTTTTCAGTTCAACCAACAAAATAAAGCAATTCCTAAATTAAGCCTAAATTAAATGGTCAAATTAAAGGGTCAAACTTACATTCGCTAGTTCGCTTGAAACTTTCATAACAAATCTTATCCCGTATTTGCTCTACACATAGAAGAAAACAATGAAAACCTTCATAGAATACTCGATGGTTGAAGAACAAAACTGATCGACAATATAACGTATTCAACCAACAAGTAAGAAACGCGCTTTCTGAAAAAAATTATGACTAATTTCAGCATAAGCGTGAATCAGTTTGTATTTGAAATAAAGTTTATTCTTCCCAAATGAGCTTATTGATGATTTACGTGAAAAAAATAATTAGAAATATACATATGTGTAAAGAGAGGGAAAAAAAATTACAATAAAATATTTTTTTTAAATATTTAGAAAATATTAAAAAATATATCCATTAAAAAGCCGGTGAGCAAAACAAAAAAAAAATTAAAAGATATAATCCCTTCATCAGCTCACACGATTATATCCGCAAAAAGGAGTGCTTTCTAATATTGTATCAGTATAACCAAAGCAAAATATATCATGCAATATATATATTGCATGATACAAATATTTTTTCGTCTATGCAAATAACAACATTAAACATGTTTTTAGAGCGCAGTTAATGCTCAACTTTAAACTCATCAACGTACATCAACTTTTAACTATAATGTTAAATAAACATCTTTTCTGTATTTCTGTGTTTTTATATAAACAATTTTGAATGTCGGTGACTCAAAGGCTATTTTTTAATTTTTTATTTTATGTTAATTTAAAAATATAATGAAATGCAAGCAACTTAAGAATTTTATTTTTTCATGGATTATGCCCGATGTAATATCATTTACTAACTTTTTATTTAATTTCTTATATATTTAAAAAAAGATTTAACAGTTTAAAATAAATTATGGTTTTTTTAATAGCTGTTAGGGATTTAAATTATTTTGTTTGTAATGTGTCCTATTAGGGTTTTCATTTATATTAATTAATTAATGAATGTTAAAATTTTGTACAGTTGTTAAATCTATAATGTATTGCTCTAATTTCACCTTTTATTTAGAAATTGGTGAACTATTGCTTCAAAACCTGTTACTTTTATGGGTACTTTTAAGTTTACCATAAGTTTTAATGCAAATGTGTCCAGCATAAATGAGTGTTACCCGATTCTGAATACCCAGTTTTGAAATTCGTTTTGCTGGGTAGAAATCGGATAATGAAAATCAGGCTGAGTACCCAGTACTCAGCCTGATTCATAGACCGGATGAGAAATGAATGGAATTTGGTTATTTGACCCTGTGGTTATTCCATAAATATTAACTAACGCTAATACTATAGTTAAACATGAAATCTTGAAAAGTGCTTCACAAGTGTGTGTTTAATAAGGGAATAAAAAAGATTCCAACATGCTCTTCTTAAAAATAAAAAAAAATCAATTTTATAAATTATTTTCCTTGCTTTGACTATAAACAATAATAGCTACTTTTTTTCCATTAAAAAAAAGCGTATCAAAACAGTTTAGTGAATATATATATATATATATTTGTTTTCGCATTTATTGTATTTTATTCAATGTACGCATGTTTAAATTTGTTGTATTTGTTTTGTTGGGAAAATATTATTTGTCTGATAATCCAAATGCTAAATTTAAAAAAAAAAGAAATGCTGATTGAACTTTCAGGACCCGGGATTGTTGAAACAAACTTGTCGGGATTCATCAGTAAGTAGTTTACATTGGAAACTTAACTAGGTTTAATTTATTTTATTCATCATTCTTTGTGAACAATATTTTTAACGTTCTCTATTAACAATAATAAATTTTTGGAAAAATAAAGGATTACTATGAAATGTTATTAATAAATAGGACGGCATAGTCAACGTAAATTCATTTCGAAATATTTTATTTTAACGTACATTTTATTATAATAATGTGATAAAAATGAATTAGTGCTGGAAATAGCTAATAAATAAATAAATTTGATATTATTATTATAAATTCTTTTTTTATGTATTTTTTTTCTATTAACACTCAAAATATTTTTAAATTTTGTAGCTTACATAAAATTTTCAGTAGAAACAAATTTTTAGCAATTATTTGCTTATAAAGAATTAAAATTGCTTGTATATGTAAATAAGTAATTATTTTATAAATACATAAACTACAAATATTAATATGTATTTTATTTTTAAAAATTTTTCAATTAATATTTTCTTTTCTGGAAAACTATTCCTCGAACTTCACTTTTCTGTTCGAACTTTGCAAATGTCATATTGCGCTAAAGCATAATTTTAAAACTGGGAGCAAAAATAATTATGAACATTTCAATCAATAAAAAATTCTCCCTTCATAAAACTTTTGTTCCGGTGAGTTATTTTAACATTTTTTTCGTCATTGCGCCTTGCGCAACATTTATTTTTTAAACCAAGTTCAAGCTATAGGAATGCGGGTCACACATCCAGTAGGCTTTGTGCCTTTTTTCTTTCTTTTTTTGTTTATCGACATTATTTTGTTTGTTTTTGAAACTCATTATTTTTCGCTTCGGGTACCCCTCCCCTTCCTCTCTCAATTCTCCGCACGCCTACGGAATGCTATCAGAGATTTTCTTTCACCTTCCACCCCTACACTTCCAATGGAAGAGAGCCAATGAGGAGCGGTACGATGCCGGCGCCCGCTTTTCGTCTGTCGAACCCACCCTCGGATATTGAGATGGAACGGTCTTTCCCTTGTCACACACTGTGAAGTTATGGACTGTGTTTGGGTGATGTATTAGTTAAGAATATAATGCTCATAATGGGCCCGATGCATAGAATTTTAATTCTTGATTAGTTCTTTTAGATGAGAAAAGCAATAAAAACGGAAATGTATCGTTTGTCACCTAATTTATTCTGACAATCGGTGACTACACGCGGCATGGATAATGTATCACAAATGCTGGAGGTAAGTGTGTGTATTTAAGCGATCATTAGCCTATATTATTTACATTTTTTACAAAGGTCACATTGTTGATGCTGCGCTGGCGAGAATCAATGTTTGTCAACATTGCTTTCGAAAAGAATATTCTTAATACAAATTTTAAATATTATATGTATTAGAAATTTTACTGAAAATGGGCATTAATATGTCATTGATTACGTATACTAATATTTTGACAGGTGATCATCGCAACCTAAATTTACTCTCGTATCGATTGAGGAATTTAGTTTTTTTAAGTTACTGTGTTTGTAAACATTGTAGTAGTTAATTTTATGTTTTTAAAAAATCCATGAAATTTTTATGTCTTAAGATATAATAGTTACAAAACTTAAGTGTATCAAGAACATATCCGTTCCATCTTCATTTATGCTTGTATTTCGTTTATGCTGTGTAAAATGTTTGTACTTTGTCTAAAAAAAATTTTATTTTAATATTCTCAAAGAAAACACAATTAATTTGTTTATATTTGTGACATTTATATTTTAAAAGGGGATATTTGTTTTGTTTGGAATTCCTTTATTTCTCATTCCTCACTCCCAGTTTTTACTTTTTATTTATACGTTTCGTAATCTGTATTTATATTCATAAAATTTACAATTATCAATTAAGTTTATCAATTTTATATTCATAAAATCCATGTATATTTATAAAAAAAATTATTCTAACTTAGAAAAGCAATTTGAAAGAAATTTTTTTTCATTAAAAATTTCATACGCAATTTTTTTTTTTAGTATTATATAAATAGGTTAGATTGTAAAATTTCTTTTTCAATTTAATATCAACTTGTTATGAAAATGGTCAGAAATTTTTTAAATCCACCTTTAAAATAAATTAGTATTTTTATTTTAGAGCTATATTTATCATGTTGTACTAAAATGTATTTATGTAAACATAAATGTAATTTATGTTTAACAAATTTATCATAGTAATTTCTCAGTCTTAAATAAAAAAAATTAACATTACAATCTAAAACTTTTTAATTTTGATATTTCCATATCCATTATTGTTTCTTATAATTGTAGTTACCCAATCTTTAATTTAAAAGACAAGTTTAAAAAAAAAAATTGAAATATACTTAGGATATATTGGACCTTTTTATTTTTGAAATATTAAATTTATTTGGTATTTACTATTTATAATTTTTTATAGTTGTGATTGCTATGCCATTATTTATCAAAAAGTTTAGCTTTAAAAAATCATTAAATATAAGTGGGATAAAACATAGGATAAGCTCTTTCATTCAAAAGTTTTAAATAAACTTGATATTTGTCTTATTTATACTTTAGTCCTTTATATTTATTTAATATTACTTTTTATAACTGTGGTTATGTTATTTTTCTATGATAAAGCTAGCTTTAATTAAAATTTAGTCAAATTATAAACCTGATTTATTATAAATTTCATTTCTCTCTTTTTTTCATAAGAAAAATATTTTAAAATAACCAGATTTAATTAATATTGGATAATTATTCCTTGATACAAAAACTACCACTCATTGAAGGACGTTAAGATTTATATATCAATGCCTGCACCAAAATAATCAAGTTTTAGTAAAGGGCATATTTCCATATATCGTGATCTGCTTTGCAGACTATGATCGCCAAGGCGCCAAATGGATTTTAAGCTAACAAATTTTTTAAAAATGCTGGGCTTTTGCTTTGAGTTATACCCTTCGAGTTGGTCCCCCTCTGTGATTTTTTTTTTCTTTTTTGCCGTCCGCTACCCAAAGGTTGTCAGGACAGGTTGATGCAGATTATGCTAAAGAAACCTTCCCTTTAGTGACTCTCAAGCTGTGGCTAGCAAGAAACTAAAAAAAGAAATTTCTGACCCGGGGCAGATTCGGGGATATTTCCGCATCGTGATCTGTGGCTCCAACTTCAATCGCCAAGGTGCCAAATAGATTTTAAACTTGCAAACTTTTTTTTAAAAAAAGGGCTGGGCTACAAGTTATACCTTTCAAGTTGGTCCATTTCTGTTATGTTTTTTTTAGTTTCTCGTGGGCCACTGCCCGGAAGTTTCCAAGACTTGGCGATTATTTTGCCACAGATCACGATGCGGAAATCTCCCCTAAGATTCGATATATAAAACTTGTAATTGCCCCTGAGTTAGCCACTTTGTGTTTTTCTTATTTTATTCGAAGTTAATCATCTGCTGGATTTCATTTGGCACATGAGGTACCAATATGGAAATATCTCTGTAATTTTGCATCCATATCTGTTCATACCAACTGCTTTCGCCAAAAGGCCACTTGCCTGTTCCTTGCAACTATAATAAGTTAAGTAAATATTTATATTGTGGCTTGTCCAAGGTGGCTACAAATTATGTATGTTTTGATTTTGTATCTTATTATTTTTTTTAATTTCTCATGTACCACTGCCGGGTTGTCAAAATTCCATTTTGGCGCAGGTATTGATACACCAATCCTTTTTATACTTATAATGCCAATACTGGAAAATTTCACTAGTCCGCATACTGGTCTGTTGACATACTGATAATAATTTTACTTAAATATATTTAATGGTATGATATTAAGTAAATTTTACAAATGCAGTATTTAAATGTAATTTTTGTAAACTAATAAAAAAATGTGATAAAATTTTTTTCCACTGTGTTTTAATTAGCAGATTCAATATTGCTATCTAGAACTCGAAAATCAGGACTAAAAAATCAGGACTCAAGAAAAATCTCCAATTTTTTACATGCCTTGGTTGGCATGTTATTCATGTCAAACTATAAAATATATGTCCAGCAGAAAAACTTTGAAATTTCTGATTAACTGAAATTCCTATTTGAAATTTCTGATTGACTGAAATTCCTATTGCTAGGTTGGATAATACAAAGCAGAACATGCTGTGATTTGTAGTTTATAATTTAAAATTATGAAGGCTTAACTTCTACAGAAAGAAAGAAAGGCAAAACTTCTACATTTTATCCCTGCACCATATTTAAACATGGGTAAATTGCTCATTAAAATATTTGTCAATTTTTTTTTTAAGTAAGTTTTTGTGATTAAAAGCTAAGTCTGAATTGGTAAGTGTGTTAGATGAAAACTGTTAAGAGATGACTTAAAAATTTAACTAACTTTAATTGTATGGTGTAACTAAAGAAAATGGCTCATGTTCTTACTGTTTATAATTTTTATTTATGAGCCAAGTTTCTTAATTTTATTGTCATTAGAAAGGAAGGAGTGTGACATATGTAACTGACATATTTAAAATGCTGGAAGCATTTAGGGAAAAAAGGGGCAAGGCCGGATAGCTAAAATTCAAAGGCCTGTTGGAGCTTAACTGATTTACCTACGCACTTTTAGATTTAATAAATCTAGTCATTTAGTTGTATACAATATATCAGTTTTAAAAAGTCATAGGTGTAATATTTTTTTAATGATTTTTTTCTAGAAAGAGTCAAACCACCTGCTCTTACTCGACTAGTGGGGTACTTGCATTATACTAGTACACCCAGTCTTACTCCACTAGGGAGTAAGACCGGGTACACATGTTAAATCTATGAGAAATTTAAAAATACTAGGATTTCAGAGAAAAAGTTGCGGGCATTTCTATTTGATATGATAATTTGAGAAAATTATACACGAAATTTAATCAAAGCCATACTGAAGGGGGCAGTTGTCCTTGGGCCCAGGTCTGCTGGGGGCCATGCCAAAATTTCCGAAAGAAAACATAGCTCTTTTTTATTAGTTCTTTTTAAAAGAAAATTTCTATACATCTATATTAAAAAAGCTAACATTTGGTATAAAGGGTCTTCAAAAAGTTTTTGGTGCTTTGAGGAAAGGGCCCCTATAAGTCTTGACTAGGGGTCTGTAACACCTTTGTCCAGCCTTAGATGTAGTCTACTTTTGTCCAGCCTCAATTTTTCTGTAACTTTTGTGGGCCCTACATCGAATCAATTCAAAGAGGTGAAGGCAAAACCGGGTAATATCCAGTCTTACCTTTGGAGCAAAGGTTAACAAAATGGTGCTATTATTGGACTAAATCCTGATCCTTATGTAGGGTGTGAATTTTTAGTAAATCTATAATAATAAGGACTAAATAGAATTTTTGTAACTGTGATGACCAATAAATGAGGTCACTTTAAGCAAAAGGAAATAAGAAAGTTAACATAATAAAACAAACATATCTACACAGGCATTGTGAATTAATCAACATCAACAACAAAGCACCATTATGGTAGGTCGTTTTACTTGACTATAAAGGTTTAATTTATCTGCTAAAGAAAGAATTTCGACACAATCGAGGCACCTGGTTTCACCCTGGGCTTATCCCTTTCTCCCCTATATAAGCAATTAAAAATATTTTATTGAAATCAGTTTTGTGAATTTTTTTTGTTTTACAAATTTCAAGAATTTTTCGTCGCAACTTTGTTGCAAGTTGTAATTGTGTTTTTCCCCCCAAAATTTAAATATTCTTTTCAACATGAAAAAAAAAAATCTAGGATGCTTTTTGTCTTCATATTAATGAACAGTGGCTTTGGACCGAGATTACTTTTAAGATTTTTTTAATAGTAATTTTATCCACAACAGCTTTTAAATTACCCTCTTATATGTTTTATGTGTATATTTCAAAGAGTAATTCTCTCTGATTATTAAAATAAGAGAATAATTTGTTCTTTATAGAAATAATTAAAGGCGTGCTAAAAGGCAATCTCTGTGCATATATATATTTTCAAAAGAGGTGAACTAACAAAATATTATTAATTGATAAACAACTTGAGACTTTTTTCTATAATTTAATCTAAAATTATGAGAAAAATTAACATTTAAAGGTACATTTCTTTTAAATGAGTATTTATTTAAAAAATAGTTTAAAAATTTAAAATCACTTGAAAAGTGTATTAATATTGCTACCCCCCTCCCCCTCGAAAAAATATACTTATAAAAATTTTACTAGTTGAGAATAATCCTAGCAAATTATATATCTGTAATAGTAATCAGAATTAAACTTAATAAACGCAGATAATTTTATTAGTGTCATCAGTGTGTAATTATTATTAAAACAAGACAATTAATTTTTTTCAAAATGGAATATAAATAAAAAAACAGTGTTTTTAAGGGATAAAATAACTGAGAACCAAACTTCTGTGCTGCTTAGCATTAACTTAAAACTCTAGAATCCTCCAAACACAATAGTACGAAGGATTTAGATCTGGTGGCGAAGAGGGACGTTCTTCTTGCTTGTTAAACTTCGGGCGATTGACATGGAGCCAAGCCTGTGTTGTTTTGGCTCAGTGCAATGGTTTAGAATCTTGCTGAGATATACAATCTGTCAGCATGTGGCATTAAATGTGTAGCCAATAGTACTTTCTTTTTGTAATATTCAGCATTGATTTTTACTCCTTTGTCAATGAATTTCAGAGGAAATTTTCTGTTATTTGATTCTGCAGCCCAAATCACTGCAGTATTCCTGTTCTGAAAGTGTTGTACTGTTCGAATACTTCTGGTACATCATCAAAGGTTGCTGAATATACAGCACTATTTTTAGCATTATACCTTTGTTCTGTGCAAAATATTTTCTTATCAGAAAGATTATGATGTCAATATTTTTACTGCTGTGCTGTTTCAGCAATATCTTACATCTTTGTTACCTTTTTGATTTTTGTGCAGTTGTCAAACATTGAACTTTTGTGATAAAGGCAAAAACCCAAGTTTTCATTTAATATAACTTGCATAGTTCTCCAACTCATGTTCTCTTCTACAGTCATTGTCTTATAATTTTTTCGGACATAAAATTTAAAAAAAAAAAAAAAAAACATGATTTTTTTGCTTTTCATTTCTGGATGATTCTACAAATACAGATATTTTGTGTCTAGCTGATATATTTTATTTAAATTGGGTTAAAAATTCAAGAGGTCTGATACATTGCAACATCTAAGTTGCAGCGAAAAGAATTTTCTCTGCTATATAATACTTTTGATGATTTATTAGCTTGATTTCTTTTCTTAAACGAATAACTCTACTGTAAATTAAATTAAATTTGTATTTACTGTGCGAACTGATGATAATATTATTTATGTGTTCTTTTTTATAAGTAAAATTTCAATTAAAATTTGAAACTCAGATGCACTAATATATATACTAATATGTAATATATAGTAAAATTAATGGAGCTTTAGTTATATTATTTTGGTGGAGCTGCAGTTTCAGAAATTTTTTGGCTCCGGTTTTCTGCTTAAATGTACATAAACTACGATATTTTCTAAAAGAGAAATTTAATTTATTTTCAGGCCATCTTAGGAAGATGATATCAAGATCTGACCTCCAACTATCACTGGGAAAATCGCATAAGCTGCCCAAATCCTATGTAGTAGAATGGAAGTAACATGGCGCTTGCTAAACCCGCTGATGATCCAATTCATATTGAAAGCGGGGTAAAAATTAAGAAAGAAAAGGAGGATGAGGAGGATACTGTTAAAACGAAGAATCCCTCTGATGTCAAAAAATTTATTGTGAGTGATCCCCAACTGTCTGGATTGCAATCCCGTAACATTACAATTACTGTTGCTTCATCATCCCAGAAGGAAAAGCCTATTTCTTCGATTAAACTAACTCTGCCAACTCCTAAGAAACCATCGGTTGATAATATTGTTATTTCCAAACCATCCTCTCCACCGCCAGCTGATTATACAAGCAGGTGCAAGGCATTTGGTTGGTCTACAGTTGGCTCTATTAATCTTCCTTACATCATGCGTAGTGAACACAAGTTTGTTGCTGCTCGGATATTGGAAGATAAAGTTATAAGAGCTGCAATGAATATTCTTCCAGGTCATCTTTTTAAATTTGCTCATGTTGAAAGTTTTTATATGACTGAGGCTGAAATAACTTTGTACAATGAAATTAATGAGTTCCATTGTGATTTACAGTTTGGTTACCCAAAGTTTACATCAAGCGATGTAGTTGTAAGTTTAGAAGACTGCATAAGCTATTATGATTTCCTTGAAACCTGTAAGGCAAAGCTTGATATTCAAGGAAATCGTTTATATAATGACCAGTGTGGTTTTTACAGTATCAGGAATGATTGTGTACCATATATTAAAAAGGGAACAAAAAAATATATTCCATTAAATGGAGTTCCTGTTGAACTTATGCCATCAGTAACACGCATTGAAAATGTTACTGAGTGGGATATAGCCTATTTTAGACTTTTATATGGAAAATCGTTGGCAGATAGTTTGCAAATACAACAAATTTGCTGTGTGGAAGATCTGGAAAATGCATTAGGTGGTATTCGTTTTGAGGAGTTTTGGGCAGACCTTCGTTGCTTACATGCCTCCCATTTGCCTTCTTCCAATGATAATCTTTCGAAATGGGAAGATTCTGTTATTCAGTCTCCTGTTGCTGTAGAGAATGCTAAAAAACTCAGGGAGAAAATAAGTGAAATGCAAGAAAAAGAAAGTATGCTAAGCTCTTTCTTAGGACTTGACAAGTATCTAAACGTCAATTCAGCTCTATCAAGAGCTACTCACCTTACTCAAAGTCCCGAATTGCAAAATGGTCTTGGCTCGATCACGAATAGTGATAAAACAAACATGTTTCCTATGTCTATTGAAAATCTTTTGGTCACTTCATCTAACTGTAATTATCCTTATTCTATTAACTATTCTAATCAATACAACAGTCATTTGCAGCATCCTTCTGTTTCTGATTTAGAGAGGTATAGAAAATTGGAGGAAAATATGCCTTCACTGACTTCTAATCGACCAAGGCCTTTTCCTCCACCACCTCCCCTTGTTAGATTGGGAGGATCTCATGCTGGATCTGCTCCTACAGAAAATGCAGTGGTGCCAAAAACTACACCTTCAATATACCCTTACATACCAACTCCCGCAAATCCTTGGCTGTCGCGTTTCTTAGAGCCAGATTGGATTCGGGAAGAGGAGAGAGTGGTCTTGCAACAGAAAGATACCCCAGAAAATTTGTCTAGACGGTACAGTGAGAATGATTTGTGGTGTCCAACGTCTTTATCATCATCCAGTGTAAACTTAAATGGGGCTGGTTCCTCAAATTTAGTGAGAAGCAATAGCAACCCTGCTGGTGTAATCAGAGACGGTTATGACATCACCAGCAGCTCATTGTGCCGTGATGACAGGATCTTGCATCCTCATGGGGGAAGTCCAAGGCTATTAGCAGGCCCTGGTCCTCCACCTCACTATCCTACACCTCCTCAATCATCCCCTCTTCAACCCTTATCGCTTATGGATTGTACTCCAGCAACTATTGTCCCTGATATTTATTCCACACGAAATACACCAAATGGTCTTGATTTGTGTAGTCCCCCTCCATCACCTGAAATGCGAACAGCTTTATCAAGTAGCCCAAGGGGCCCTCTTTTGTCCAGTTATCCCTACCATCCTCATATCGCTCGTTTAGTGCAAGTGGACACACGCTATGTGTTAGCAATTAATATTGAACCACTAAAGTATAGCTCCTTGCTTGCGGTTCCTCTATCAGATGTGGTAAATAAGTTCCTCAGGGGCTCTTCTGTTCAGTCCTGCCAGATTGTCTTGGAAACTTATGGGATACAACTTTATGAATGTACAAGGTATGTATTGAATTAACATTTTGTTTGTGTGAGTATAAGGTGTATGTATTGTTTTTACCTAGTATGAAAGCTTTGTTATTCTTTAAATCTTTAGTATGATGCTAGATCAGCATTTGCGGCATAGGCTCAAGTATATTGTTGGCCAAAAAAATAGTTGCATGCTTATGAAACTTATTCTGATTGACTAACCACTATAAGTTTCCCCTCAAATATTTTCTCCCAACTAGACCAATTACTAATCAGGGTTACAAAGAACCCACCTACCCAGTAAAATCCAGGTGGGTTTTACTGGGTAAAACCCACCCTAAAGTGGGTTTTTTCTAAAATATATTTCTTTTTTATCCTCTGTTATACTTTTGCGCTATTGTATTGAAATATATATGTAGTAGTCTAGCCTAAAAAATGAACCTAGGTGAAAAAATTGTTTTTGGAGACTACCTTGCTGGCTAGATTTGACTGTATGGCCATTGATTAGTCAGTGCCTTTGATTCGCTTTCTATGCACACAAAAAAAATNAAAAAAAAAAATATTTCCTCAAATATTTTTTGAGATTAAAATATAAATAAAAAGTAATCCTGTGTTAAAATAAGTTTCAAATGTGTATTGTACCTATGTGAGTACATGTAACATTTTGTAATGTGATGTCAGAAGAAACTTTTTTCTGACTTTTGTACCAATTTATTTGTATTAATTATTATTTACCTACATGTTAAGTCAATTCATAAAATTAAACTTAATTATTAATATTAAAATAAGCTTTTTCAAAATAAGGTTCTTATCCCTGCCCTCTCTTTTGAAAAAAAAAACAATAAAACATGAAAAACCCACCTGGGTTTTTTGTAACCCTGTTAGTAATATGCATTATTTAAGTATTTCGAATTGCTCGATGGTTACAATTTTTTGGAATCATTCCAAATAACCAGATGAAAACTTTAAAGCAGTTTTTTGTCGTATGATGATGTATTTTCTTCTTCAGAAAGCTAGCGTCCATAGTGGGCAGTCGCGCCAACAAAGAATGCATTTAGAGGTGTTTGTAATTCTGATAAAATATATTTGTCCTGTGTTTGAGTCTTTTGTCCAGATATTCCAGATTTTTTGTTTGTCCAGATTCCAGAACATTCTATTTTCTGAGAATACAAATGCGGATTTCTAAAAAAAATAAATTTGCAGAATCGAAAAAGTTAGATTTTCGTTCCAAAATATTTTTATTTCAGTAAAAATTGATATTAGAAATAGCAAAATTCAATAGTTTCCAATTTTTACAGGGACGGGCTAGTAAATTGTATACATAGTTCAGGTACAGTTGATGCTTGCCTAAAGGATTCATTTTTTAAACATTTTTGGGAATTCAGTGTCTTTATGAAATGAAAATGAAAATTTTATGTTATCAAATTTTTATAGTGATGAGCAGGGGTTTACAATTATTGATTTGTCTCTTTCATCTGATTTTAAAATTGATAGATTCCAATCAACAATTAAATTATTTGATAAAAGAAATCTTGAAATAATTTACTAATTTAAATTATTTATTGTATTGAGGAAATATTAACTAATTGATGCTAGTTATTTTTTGTAGCGCAACTCTAGTGTTTGAAGTTATTATGAGTTGTTAGTATCAGATATATTGCAAATTGTTAGACTTTCTGTTTCTCTTCTAATTCTGAAATTAAAATATTTTTTCTTTTGGATAAAATTTGCTTTTAATATGCTATTCTAATGTAAAGCTATTCTAATGTAAATTTAAAAAAAATAGTCTGGTATATGTATCTTATACAAAACCATTTCCATATTTTTTATTAACCTATTACAAAGCCTGCATTTGATTATAAGCAGTAGTGGTTGGTAAAAGTAGGCTTCTTTCAATTCAAGTGGAAGAAAATCTTTTTCAAACAGAAATATTAAAACAATTTTTCAAACATTTTAATTTTAGAAATTATCAATTTCCAAGTTATTTCATATCATTTCTAAATAAGTTGAAAGTAAAAAGTACCTTTTAAAAACAAAAATTTTGTGTTTTTTATTTGGTTACACCGATTTTAACTGACCATAATAATCTATTACTTTTTTTTTTTTTTTTTTACTACTGCTACAGTAGTTTTTAAAATAATTTCCTTCAAACTATTGAAAATCCATTCCAGGATTTTTAATATTTTCACTAATTGTGTTCAATTAAAAAGCAAAGAAATTTGTAACATATCTAGTAATATGTTCTTTACTCAAGTCCTTTAACTTTTTTACCGCTTGTTTAATCAAGACAAAAGTTAATGCCTCTAACTTCTATTTTGAATTTTAAGTTGTGTTTTGCTTGTAGTTTGAAAAATAACTCATGAAAGTAAAGATGAAAATGGAGTTTTCTTATAAAATGATTGAAGTTTTATTTAACTATTATTGAATTTTTGAACTAAAGTTCTTATTTACAAGAAAATAGGATAATTTCAGAAAACACTCTGTAAACAAAATACCAACTAATTTTAAATAGAATTTTAAACTAATAATTAAAAAAGACATTCTAATTCATTCTGAATAATAAAAAAAAAAAGTTAGTCTGATAATAAATTTCTTTTTAAAATTACAAATGATCCAGAGACACAAATTTAAATTTAAATAAACAAATTTAAATAAGATTTACAAAGTAAACAAAATGAATTTTTTCAAAGAAAATTTTGTCAATTGAATTTACCGGGCCCACACTAAAGATTTAAAATTATTAGCCAAAGGCAAATCTTAACTATTTTTTATTAATGATTTTTTTTCACGCAGAAAATTTCAAATAAAAATATAAATTTACTGTAAGTTGAATTATTTAATAAAATCAAATTTGAGAGGATTAAAAAAATTTATTTTTTGTTTCATCGGCTTTGAGGGAAAGAAGTAGGAATCGGTTGGGGTTAGTTTTTGATAATTTCTTAGACTAGAGTAGCTATTGTCACATTATTGTGTTGTAGCTTAGGCTATTGTCATGAAAAAACATGTTTCCTACAAAAATATTTGGAGGATAATATGCATCTTGCTATCACATAATTTGTTGTATTGGCAGAAACTGTAGAAAAAAATTTCATCACGTGATGTCGCGTTTGAACGTGATGTCGTGTATGAACGTTTGAAATCTGTATTTTTCAGTAGTTAGTCTTATGCTCTCATAATCTCTCTGGTTGTTTACATTATCTGAACTTTCCAATATAATTCTAATTGGTTATGAGACGTCTAACAGAGATAACTATAATCGAATAAAAATTACAACATTTATTCAAGAAAATTCTCTTTGACTTTATTTTTTATTTTTTTTTTTTAAAGATTAAGTTGATTTTTTAAATTTATTTATCTTTTTTTTTTTTTTTTTTCCCTGTGAAAAAGATATTATACATATTTTTTTTCGGTCGAAAAAAAAATCATTCACGAAAACACAATTTTTTCCCCCAAATTTAAAATTTTATTGTTTTTAAGGTGGCTGATGCTTAGCGCGGGCTCTGTATTGAATGTAAGCGATCCAGAAAAAAAATCTCTTGTTAATACAAATTTTATGATATACTTCTAAATGCAACTTTTATTTAATATTGTAGTTTGAAATTCATATCTGTCTTGTATGTAAATTTGAAATCTCCCATTGACCACATTTGGGATGCAAAGCAGCGTCTTACAACCAAGTGGCAACTCAAGAAAATACCTATCAATTTCCAAGGGCAAATGGAAGAAGACGCTATACCTCGGAAGAAACTTAACTCCATAAGTAATTTAAAATTTAAGTATGGAAAAAGCGAGTTTAGGAAACCTAAAGTAAACAATGAAGTTTTAAATAGTGAAAAAGATGCTGTGGTGGTTTAAGGAATATATTGCTCGCCTCCCAATCAGGTGCCTGGGTTTGAATCCCTGAAATGGCTGGTTGATACGAATTCTGCACTCGGCTAGCACCGACAACAATGCTGACCTAAAATTTCCTCATGGTAGACGGCAGATCATGGGTTACAGTACCCTTGCCGTCGGGCTAACCGTGTGAGATTTTCGCGGTTTTCCACTCTATGTAACGCAAATACGGGTTAGTTCCATCAAAAAGTCCTCTACGAAGGCATATTTCTCCCAATACTTGATCCACGAGTTATCTTGCTTTCTGGATTGGGTTAGGTAGTCATGAACTCAAAATTGGGTCTGCTGTTGAACTGCGATTGCAAACAAAAGATAAATATTGAAAATAGAAAAGAAATTTTCGAAATAAAACAAATTATGAAAGGATAACATAGGATTACTCCTTTTGTAAATTCTATTGTATTTTGAATTTTTATTTCTTCTAGCAATTAAAACTCCTGGCTTATTCTAGGTTTGCCTGGATTCAATTTTTCTAGGCTTTAAATAAGTTATGTAGATGAAACGGAGTTTTTGATGAAAAGTTTCTCCCACAGGATAGCGTCCTCTTAACTGCCACCAGGGGTGCGGGTATTGGGGCCCAGTTTTTATAATCTCGTTTACTTTATCTTCATTTTTCTTTGTTGCAATAAAATAGAAACTTATAAATATTTGGCCAATTTTTGTTACTTAAATATTGGTGATACAACATTTTGTGTAAGGACATATGGCTATTTTGTCCACAATGCTTTCTATTTTATTTACCACACCTTGTACTTTTTTAACTTCTCATTTCTTAAAATATATTCTATAAGATGTAGGAACTTCAAGAAGCATATTATTTGCATGTCTTTCTTTCTCTTTTAATGGAAAAAAAATTATTCAGGGAATTTATGTGAGTTTATTCATATGGATGGTAAATTCTACAGTAGAGGGCTCTGTATTCTTTCCTTTAAAGAAACTTCAGAATTATTATATCCTGTCTACTTTCTTTCCATTTGGCTAGCGTGTGCTCATTTTTTTACTGTAGTTGTTTATTGTTTGAGCTAGAGCTAGCACTTGTTATTGCCAAGTTTGAATTACAATGTTCATATTAGTCATATCAAGAATATTAATTCAACTGCTGAAAAATAGATATTATGTCAAATATAAACGAATATAAG